TTCCCCTTTGTTCCCCTTGTTAACCCTGTTCCCCCTGTTCCCATGTTCTTCTTGTCCCCATGTTCCCTCTGTTTTTCTTGTTCCCCTGTTTCACTTTTTCCCCTGTTCATCTTGTCCCTCTTGTCTCCCCTGTTCCTCTTGTTCCTTTTGTTCTTCCTGTTCCCCTTTACTAGGCTTTGGTAGATTGTGCTCGAAAAAAAAGCATATTATGCTTTTAGCAGTGCTCATATTTTTTAGAAATTATGCCAAAATTATGCTACTTTCTGTCACCGAAATTTTGCTGCTTAGATTTTACACTGCCCGATTTTTTGGTCCAATTTTGTTCTCCGATTTCTTTTCCGATATCTTTTCCGATTGTTTGTTTGTTTTTTGTCCGCTTTTTGTCCGATGATCTTCTGGTCCCGCCACTGATAGCCCCAACCGTGCGAATCCTAGTTTTTAGCTGTACAAAAAGGTGTATCGCCTAGACTTGCCTACAAATCGAGCTCAAAATTTTTCCCAAGCGCAAGCTAAAAATTCTTTTTGTTTTTTGCGGCAAAGCGAGCGACTGAGAGAGCGGGAGCTACTACCGGAACCAGAAACGAGAAGCAAAGGACTTGGAGAAAGTCTGGTCTATCGCCCAAGTGCAAAGAACTCATTTGAAATGTTTTAAATTAGCCTTACAAGTCCCAAATGCCTTGAGATGTAGTGTGGTAAACAATCCTTGTTCTTGCCACATAGACACGTGCAGTAAGAAAATCCAATCAGAAAACTTTAGAAATTAGCATTTAATTCAAAACGTTGCTCCACGCTACATTCAAAAATTGATAACTCCAGTTGCAATAGCTGCAAGCGAATGTTGCTCATGAAAGAAGGAGGAACAAGGCGCTCTCACACGTTAACAGGCTATTCGTCTTCTCAGCTTCACTACGTTACTGCAAGAAAGAAAAACTATCAAAGCACTCAGCCTGGGATGTTAAAACCAGCGTACGAGGTAAATTATAATATTTTCAAGTTGTCGTCAGTGGTCGAAATTTGAAATTCTGGCAAGTTCAACTTAAAATTAAGCTATTTCAGTGTCGAATATTCTGGTTCTGATGTTAATTTATTTGTTCTCAGATGGAAAATAGCGAGTAGAAATGTAACCTATCGGTCAAACATAATTAGTGCATGATTCTAAAAGCTCGTTATAGCTCGTACAAGGTCGTACACGTGGCTCAGTTACTAAAAATTCCAAGCGAAAGTCGGAAGAGACATTCCAGATAAAAGTAGCCTAGCTAATCACGTCTTGCTCTTCTTTCTCAGTTATATTAGTGACCAGGAAAGAATTTGCAAAAACAATGGCAAATTTGATTATTTTTTTCTCGGTGTACAACAGCGAGATTTTGGCCGACTTAATATCACAAAATGAGGCCTTCCCACATTCAAATAAATCCAGAATGTCCGAAGCTCGCTGTTCCTCTGGCTATTACTATACGGAAAGCCTCGAGGTTTGCAAAATATGTGTTTTGTGAATTTCTTGTCATTGATTTAACTAATAGTTCAGTTGTGATAACAGAATGTTAAGCTGAAATGTTGAAGATGTGAAATGCGAGGGGCCGTAGCGGTCAAAGCTTTAATGGGCAATTCTTGAACAACTTTTTCTTGAACTGCTGCTTGGTTTTCTCTTCCGCCAAACACTTGGTTGGAATATCTGAAATTTACTGAGGTTAGACCGCTTTCTTGCGTTAGATGAGACCGCTCTTCAAAACATTCGAACGAACCTTAGCTGAATTGATGGAATAAAAGATACATACCTGCAACCAATATACGTTTAAAATGGCTACAAGCAGTTAAGATTTAAAATTAGACTATTGATGATATAATTATTAGATTGATGTCGAATCGTAGAGTGGTTTAATTGCAATATAGTTGTAAGTTCTTGATCAGTTTTCGGATTTTTCTGATGGTTCCCATTATTTTTGGCCAGACTTTGGTTTACTTGCTATAAAACAAACAACCAATTGCAATCAAACCTCAAATGATATCACCACATCACGCGCGAACTCTCGCGCGAAATTTCACGTGAATAGATTGCGACAAAGCCTGTGTGGTTACGATGATGTTGAAGAATGCAATTTACGATAGTACTGAATTAGGAAAGGATAAGATTCGCAAAGATCGTGACCAGAATCAGACTCCATATGATGACCACATAACGCTCGACCTCTTGGGTGAACCCTCTCGTAGATAATTAACAATTATTCACCTCAGGCTCAGTTAATATTGTTGAATAATCCCCTTGACTTTGTCTCGGGGATTATTCAACAGTATTAACTTCGCCTTCAACGAATAATTGTTAAAAAATTGTGAAAAAATAAGATCTTCACTAGAGACATGAACCAGTTTAGTAGGGTTTTCGCAAACCTTCTCCTGATCAAAGAGCTTTACAAAGTTGTGTCTGAATTTGAAAAATCAAGTGTTTCCGTTCAGTCAAATCTGTATTAAGAGAACCTCTATTAAGCAGTCACGGTCTATATTAAGCGATCACTTACCGAAGTCCCTGAAATCATTCCCCTCCATTTACCGTAAAACTGACCTGTAACGACTTATTTTTTATTGTCTTAACTTTATTAAACGGTCGCTTTAAGAAGACGCACCATACTAATGCAACAGGACGCACTGTGTACAACGTCAAGTGGTCTTTCACTTTTTTCTTTTGGCCGAAATAGAGGTGAACATAGGTGGAGGTCAATTTGTCGTGGGATAGATATTTCGCTCTTTGACTACCTTCATTTTCTTGAATATTAAACTCTCACTTTTGTCAAACATGCATTAATAAGTCAACCTGTATTAAGCGGTCAGTAAGCCATTTCCATTGGGTGAACGCTTAATTCAGGTTTGATTATTATTTCTCCCTTTCTCTTTACGTAGTTCACAACACTTGAGGCTTTATGTTACTTTCAGCTCAGCTTGGTACGCTATATGTGTGACGCCATATGTGGGTTGAGTTTGTTGTTGGTTCTCTCCTTTGCTCCGAGAGGATATTCTCCGGGTACTCCGGTTTTCCCCTCTCCTCAAAAACCAACATTTCCAAATTCCAATTCGACGAGGATCAGGTAGACAAAGAACCACTTTGTGGATCTGCTACCTCCAAGTCATTATTCATTCATTCATTTATTTATTTATTTATAAATTTGTTATGTTTTCGATCTACAGCCCTCAGACCAGACCATCCATATTCCTGTGGTGGACCTCCAGATTATTGACCATCAAACCAGGCTATCGGACAACCCCAGACCATCAGATCCGACCCTAGATCAGACTACAACAGACCCTCGTCAGACCCGACCACCAAATCAGATCACCCCACCAGATCACAGACCACCAGCCTTGACTACTCGGCTTCCAATCAGCACGGCATACCCAACCCTTTGAACTGGTACAGGTCAGGTGCATTCTTTATGGGTTGGGACAAGGGGGGTATATAGAGCTCTGGATGAACCTTGCAAAGCATACTTTCCACAGACTTTCGGCCTAAAGACTTCGGAATTCTTTTTTTCGGCTTTACTTAACTGTAGTTAGATTAGTTAGCGGGGTTTCCCGGGTTGGTAAGGGTCTCCCCTGCCCTTTTTCATTAGTTGGGTTCCTTTGCAGGTGTTCGGTGTTCGGTAAGCGACGAGAGTTCGGCTTTTAGGAATAGGTTCGTTGTTTTGGATTCGGTTCGGCATTTTGGAAACGGTTCGGCTGCATCTTTTCGCGCCTTTTTTCGGATGGACTTCACCACCACCGCCGCTGTTTTCGTCGTCATCGGCTTCACTGCAGCCTCCCGCTTAGTTGCGCCAATTGAATTGATCTATCACACTTCACTTGACAGTCTATGCGCTGGGCAAGTGAAGCTTTAATCCGTAAGGTTCAACCAGACTGTGATTATTGTAAGACATAAATTAGTAAACTAGAGAATTCAGATCATTCAGCGACTGTGAGAGGATCTCATTTGGTCACTGCTTACAAGCTTAGTGGTCTCTCTGGTTACAGGTAGATAGTTAGTTTAGCCTCGCAAATTCGGGTCTGCTCCTACTAATTTGGCTTTTGATGTTAAACAGTACAAATGTGAAGTGAAATTTTTTATGCGCATTTGCGGACTTCGAACTTGTGCTGGTAGATCAGTTGACAGGTTTAGTCGTACAACAAAGGTAATCTGCGACCAGGCCTTTCTTCCCGCAAAGAGCCAACGCCTTGTTGCAGGTTACCAGGGCAACAAATGGGATAATTCACACACCATAGGCTAGATCGTTTACAAATCGTAAGCGTAGGAAGTCTTCAAGACCAATCTACGACACAGTTTCATCGTTGGAGGACCAAGAACAAGCCGCGGATATGCTTTTAGAACAATTATTATCCTGCGAAGTAATCACGAGAATGCTATTAGGCCGAATATTCGGGGACACTCATGTGGAGGCCCTCCATACTTTGACATGCGTGCCCCTGAATGTCATTCATGTGAAAACCTCGCTGGTGTAGATAGTCTTTCAGTAAGTAGCAGGAGAGGATACTCTGGTTGCTTAGGCATCATTGACACTAAGACGATTTGATTTGTCTTCCTGTTAATTTTGCCTTGCTGGAGGGTTTTCTTCTAAGGAAGTCCTGCATTGCACTACGCAGGCGCAGATCGTCTACAAATGGTAGGCGTACGTAGTCTTCACGTCGACCGTTCGTGGTTACTGGTTTCGTCACTTTTCATCGTCTGGAAGTCGTCAACGCACTGTCCTACCTCCGACAGCTCGTGAAGTACGCCATGATTAGGACTGAATCCAACGCAGCACGCTGTTTATTCAACTTCGTTCTGAATCTTGTAACAAAATGTTGGAAATTTGAATAAAATGTATTTGTTTGAACTGTGTTATAGTGTATTGTGGGTCCACTGCTACAACAACGAAAGATGCCGGCCGAAGAAAGAAGAACAAAGAACCTCGAGAGCCATAGAGAGATAGTCCAGTAGTACAGTTACTTAAGTAGACAAGTTAGTTTCCTTTGCAGCCATGAACGGAGAAGAAAAATCACGCCTAAACAAACCAAATAATGACGATGATGATGATGATGATGATGATAATGGCGACAATGGTGTTGATCGTTTACACTAAGACGTCATTCAGCTTCTATGCAAACAGAAGCCGATGACATCATAGTGTAAAAGGCTTCATGATTAGGAAGGCAAGGTATAACAAGAGAAGGCAGCATATAGAAATAACTTTAAAGAACTGTCTTAACTAACGTTGAGATTTCCATAATTAAGTCCCTATATTCTGCCCTATCTTCCTATATACGTCGGAACTAATTTGAAAAATTTGATACGAATCAAACCGACGTTTCTTGGAATTAAGCAATTGGGAATGCAATTGCGAAGACTGTTCCGCGCAGAAGTTGAATTTCATCTTATCTTGGATCCCATGTTCGGATAGACCAGTGTTAATTAAGACAGTTATTAATATTTAATAATTTTAATTTTAATTGGCCGGCCGGACTTCTTCTTTGGAGCAACTCCAAGTCATCAACAACAACATAAACAACAACAACTTCATGGACTTTTCATATCTTCGCCTTTGGTCTATTGGATTGTGGGTCCCAGTATCATTGGTCCTTTGGTGAAGGAACATGACGACAAATTACAGCAGCCCATATAAGGTAGGGCTGATTGATGTTGGTACAAAGTTTGCGCAAAGCAGACTCGCTTGGCCTGGAATAGCGTACGGCAAATGGAATTTCCACGGCAAAGTTGTTTCCGTAAGAAGGTTCGTTGCTAACGCAACTTGCACCACATCAATCAGCCCAAGTAAGAATTCAGTGTGGCACAAGGTATGTGGAATTTTTTTCTTTGTTAGGAAGTTAGATTTTCGTATCGGTCCATTCGGCTATTTCCGGTTTTCGATTCGACTTTCAATTTGATTCCGGATCCGGCTTCGAATAATGTGAAGGCTCGGTATCGAAGGTGTTTCGATAGCAGGCCGCCAAATATCCCTGCGTACCGTCTGGGAGACCCTGGTGTGTCTCATTCGCGGTGTCAAAGATATATGGATACATGTCACACTCCTTGGTCTCACTAAGACGCCAAATTCTTGTAGGAGCGCACCCCCCAGCATAAATATAGATTACTTTTGTAATCGGGAACTGGATGCAATAAAAAGACTTAAACTAATATGTTGTCTGTGTGATTTTTTCTTTTAGTTTAATTCTAAATTTATAAAGTAATTAGTTATAGGTACTAATGATTTTGATTTGCAGGTATCTTACATAATACTTGTTGTAATAACACCATTAAAAATAAAATAACAACAACAAAAAACACTGAGTTGTGAGTGTGGTCATTTTATAGAGTAATTAGTTATAAGTACTAATGATGATTTGATTTGCAGGTTTCTTACAAAATACCTGTTGTAATAATACCAATAAAAATAAAATAACAACAACAGAAAACACTGAGTTGTGAGTGTGGTCATTTAACGCAACTACATACAAGCATTTACTGATATTGTCTCGAGTCAGTGTGTTCTACCGTAAGACACAAACAACTACTAATTTTTTTCATTTCAGGTACTAGAACATCAAAAATCATATTTTTGCGGTTTTTTTGGCTCTACCTCCACTTTTTTCTAGACGGTTAATGGAAACATCTCTTTTGGGCGCGCCCTCTCAAGATCTCCTGTCACGTATGGCTTTTTCGACGTTATTTTTTACTACCTTTTGGATGCGTTCTTGAAGAAACGCATGGCGCTACCTTTTTGGAAGTCGGTTGTGAAGAGATGATTGCAGGCCGGCATAAAATTTTTTTATTAAGGTTATTGTAACTGACATGTGCGTACTAAAAGTTGATGAAAAATAGAGTTTAACAAACAAAAGAAACTCATCAACTTGTTTTTTCTCCTTTAAACCTGTAATAAATAATTGTTGTTACGGAGTTGCTTTTCACGAATAAACAATAAAGGTTCATCAACACAATGCCGCTTCATCAGTGTATTTTTTCTATTAGAACAATAAGATTTAACAAGTTTTATTTCAGGAACTTCGGACGTCATCTTTTAAAACATTTTTTCTTCGAACATCGCCGCCTCGAAGACATCTTTTTGGGCGCGCCCTTTCAAGACCAAGCACGCTAAACTGATGATTTGACGTATGCTTTCAAGAAGCTCGTTTTTTATTCGATGCACTTCTGGTTGCGTTCCTGAAGAAACGCATGGCGACACTGATTACTACTGAAAACTAATTCCAAGTTCTTAAGGTAAGGAAGATATTTGTTTCTTTTTCAATTTTTTTTTAACTGTTACATTATCTTTTTTTGTTCCAGATTTAGTTCGTGAAAGTACCGTTTGCCAGCGCCTATGGGGTAAAGGACGAATGAAAAGGACCGTGAGAACATTAAATCCGATTGTGCTGCTTCATGCACCTATCAGTCAGATATTAAAAATAATTCATTCAGGCTTAAGTGGGATTCGAACCCACGGTCTTTGTTTAGTTACTGGTGCTCCTAGTCTACCAAAGAGTGACTTTTTCAAGACGTAGCATCTCAAACGATCCACTGAATCTGTTTGATGATAGTTGACGGAATAAATATGGATGTCAGCAGTCAATTCTAAGGCCTTTAAGAGGAACTGGACTCTGCAATCGCTTATTCCTATGGCTCGGGGCCTCCCCTGTTACTCAACAAAGCAGTGTTTTAATGTCACTTACTCTGTTTTTAAGAAGTATTTCATTTAGGTCAGAGATGTCCAGCCGTGTCATGGTAGAACTGGAGTCCCATCCGCAGCGATCTATAACCTGTAAGTACCAGAATATAGGAAAGTCTTCATTTTCAAGAGGATAACCATTTAAACCCAAAGAGAGCGTGTTTTCGTTTGAGGAAAGACTTTACCATCAATTGTGCTCTTACTGCATCAAAAATCGTAGTTTCATAGGTAAACTGGCCTCTGTTCAAGTGGGATTCCAACCTGTGAACATTGCCTCATTAACAAGCAAAATGATGTGAAATATTTTTATGAGATACAAACGCCAGGGCCTCTGAAATAAATGTCCTGGTGCAACGTTTGCTTTGATAATCTGCTTTTAGAAACTTTCCATTCAATTAGGTCTGTGCAATTCCAGAAGTTGTCTGTACATGCAAGATCTGGAGATTCAAGGTATGTACCATAAAGGAAGAATTAAAGTGTTCACCAAAAATGTTTTAAAACGACTTTAAAAAACTCATCAATAATTCCTAAAGAAAAAAAGGAGGAAATAAATATTTAACGATTGTCTTTATATCTGATAAAGACACCGATAAACCTGATATTTCTGATAGTTTTTTAAACAGTACCTAGAAGCGTTTAGCCCTGATTATTTCAAGCCATGACTTCAGTTCCAGTAATCATTTAATTGAGATCAACAAAGAAGATTGTCGTGTCTGGAATACAAATCCAAGAGTCATATCCAAAACAAAAGTTTAGGATCTACTGTAATATGTAGCAGATTTTCAGTTGCCTAAAGCTAAATGTCTTGTTCTTGAGATGTACATGCATTTTATTTAGATCCTAAAAGACTTTACATGTGACGTCTCCACACTGATAGCTGCTATCATGAAATCCCAGCCATTGACTGGAAAACGGCATGTTGGATCTTGCTCAACTTAACATGAGGTTAGTAGAAGAAAAATTTTCAATGCCAGTCTTTCACCAAAGGTAATATGGAAGCGCTTGTCTGAAATGTAATTGGGCTCGGATCGAAGCAGTTATCAGCGGAAAGTTCTTTTGTATCAAATTCAATGGACTAAATAATCATAAGTTAAAACTGCAAAAATCGAGGAGAAAAAGGGGGACAGTCTTTCAGAGTCTTCTATCACTCAATTTGCTTGCAGTCTTGTCCCCTTTTTCTAGAGAGATGAGGGAACTTTCTGGTGAGCCACTGTCACGAGTAGAACTGGAAAAATGTTTGACATGCAACCAGTTGTATTCATTATCAACTACGACGATAAAGTAATGATGATGTCAGCGGTAAAGGACAACGGTGGTAGTGACGATGAAGCCTATTTAATGACCTTCAGAAGCAGGTAAAACGTGCATTGAAACTTCAACTAGAAATACGTGTATCACAGAACCTCTGGAGGCTTTGGGCAACCTCGCTCCCAGGGTTCCATTGGAGGGTGTGTAGGAGAGAGCCCTGGTAACGTGGTTGGTTTCGGGATTTGGATGGCCCGTGAAATAATAGGGATGGGAGGGTGGGTAGAAATAAAGTAAATTGACAAGCTTAGGACCTATAATAACACAACAGCAAAGACAAAAGGGACTTGAGTTTTCCCGATTATTCGGATGATCTCGGCGTTCTTTGCGGAGGATTTAAATAAGGCCAGTAGGAGTTAGTAGGGATAAAACTAAAGATAATGACATTCAAATAGGGCACACGATGGACTCATTTGAAGCACAAAAGAAAACAAAAATGTCAGAAAAGTAAATGAATGAAAACAAATGGAACAAAAATGAACTTAGAAATAATAAATAAATAAAAGCAACGAAAGATAAATAGAAAACTAGTAAAAGAATAATACATGATAAATGTCATATAATAATAAAATTGAAAATAAAGTCAAATAAATAATATGTAATAAATTATTGATAATAATAATGATAATAATGATTAAGATGATGATAATGATAATAGAAAAGGAAAAGGAATTAACAGCAACGAAAAATACTTGATTGGTTTTTGAAAACGTAACTGCAGAGACTAAAGCAGTCACGTTGCAAAAATCCAGCTAGAAGTATTTTTGTTTTTGAAAAGTCACTTTTAACTCTTTCCTTTTCTATTCTATCATTTAATAATCATTATTATCTTAGTTATATGTTGTATTAAATGTATAGATATTATTTTAAAGTTTTTTTTTGTTGCGTTCTTTAGATTTATTTACCTTTTTGTCTTTATTCTTTCGTGCGTAAAGTCATTATTTTTTTGTTTTATCCCTACTGACATATATTATTTTGAGCCAGTTTAAACCATTGAATCAAATTTCCAACAGTGCCGCTTTCATGCTATTTAAGGACGGTCTGACCATCCGAAATATCTCGAAGCGCGTTGTCGCTTTTGTCTTTGCTGTGCTGCAATTGTAATGTGATTATTTGTTACACGAATTGACCCAATGTAGGAGTGAGTGCTTTGCTAATAAGTTCAGTTGAATGTTTGGTCTTGGCATCTTGAGAGCTTTAGAAGAAGTAGATGTTAACAAGCTGGGCTGTCTGAAGAGGCATTGGGATGTGAAAAGGTCTGAAGCCTGATGCATGGATGATAATGATGATGACAATGACCATGATGCTGATAGTAATGCCCCTGATGATGGTGAGGATGATATTGACCATGATGCTGGCGATAATGTAAACGATAATGCTGACAATGTTGATGACGATAATGACAGTGATGGTGATGCTGATGATCGTGCTGACGATGAAAACAATGATGAGAATGCCGACGACGATGATGATAACAATGTTGACGACGAGGAAGATAATGATGCTGACCATGATGACGATGATAATACAAACGATAATGCTGACGATGATAATAACGATTATGATAATGACGCTGATGCTGACGATGAAAACAATGATGATGATGTCGACGACGATGATGATAACAATGTTGACGACGAGGAAGATAATGTTGCTGACGATGATGACGACGACGATAATAACGATAATAGTGATGACGACGATGACAGTTATGACGATGATGCAGACGACAACGATGATGATGATGATGAAATATCTATGAAATCATTACTCAGATGAAGGGAACCCCACAGCTCAGGATCAGTTAATGGCCACGGCGTCTTTACCTCGTAAGTAACAGAAAACTAATTCAATAGCTTCTTAGCTTAGCTTCAATAGCTTGTTCAATAGCTCCAGAGTCGAAAGAGACAAGAGACGGCTGGGAACTAGTCAGGTTCATATAATTAACGCAATTGTCTAAAAATTGCAGAGGAGTGAAGGAAAGCTAAGCTTTGATAATGTCCATTTGAACTAGAGGTATTGATTCTACACGGTCGTTTGCTTCCTCTGCTTACCTATCAAAACAAATCAAAGATCAGAAAACGCGATTCTAGACTTTATTTAATTTAAGCCACCTGGGGATTCAAAATTCCGTCAAATGAATTTTGCTTACATGTAATTTGATTGAAAAAATAAAACAGAATTGAATTGGGAGTAGGCATTGATCGCACTAGCTTCAATGAAAGAATTGAGGCATTGATAAGTCCTCAAATACCCGACCAAAGTATTCTGCAGCAATAGCAATATAAACCTGGGAGATCCTTATTTTAAAATAAAACAATGAATTGCATGTATCTTCTGTTTTCGTCCCAACAGCTACCCGGAAAAGAGTCTTGTTGGGTGTGTCTGCATCATTATCATGTTGGAGGAGGAGTGCGGATGTTCACAACCCAACTTTCCTTTGGCAGCACGAGAAAACAAGCGCAGATCCACTTGAAACTACGATAGACTTTATAAAATTTAAGTAGGGTCCATGTTGAATCAACCTTCTTTTCGCATCGCTCGTGTTCAAACTTTATAAACCGGCCATTCCTAAACCGCAGTGAGTTTGATCTTGGGCCTGTGTACCAAAGACTGAAGTGGTAATTTTTTTTTCTCGGCCGATGAATAAAACATGCAATCGATAGCGGTTTAACGGGATCTATACTAAATAAGGTCTTTCATTGCATTAAGAAAAAAAAATTAATTATTGCCATAGAGTTTGTGGAGCAAATCCTATGCGGTCACATTTTAGGATTTTACGAAATAAAGACAGAAAATAGATAATTATGAGGTTTTAAGACGCTTCGTGTTATAAGCGAAAACCAAAAAAAGCCATATTTTATTTTTTTTCATTATCAGTTTCGTGATTAGACAACAAGCAGTCCCTTTTTTCTCTTTGTCTTTCGGGCGAAACGCGCGAGACACGCAAATGATCAGGAGCGTGACTGAAAGCGCGAGATGTGAGAGGCACGAATCGCTTGACGCTCCGCACGCGAGCACTCCCCACTCTAAATTTGAAGAAAAAAAAGAGACTGCTGTCATTCTATTTCGTGCTAGATGAACGTGGCCGAATATATAGAAAATAAGGGAGCCATTATGTAAAGGAAGAAAGCTATTTTACAATAACGGAAGACTTTTTTGGGAGCAGTTGTCTTATTTCTCAATTCGGCTGCGAAAATTAGAGCGTAACTTGGAACTTCTGAATCCTTCTTAATTAATGCCACAAACGCTAATTTGCTTAAAGCTTTAGCTTAACATGTAACATAAGCAGCAATAACCTTCTAATGCATGAAGATTTTCAGAGATTCTAAGTAAACGTTTTGCCTGAATCTGAATCGTCTGCAAAAAAAAACATAGCGACTATCTACTGAGTGATAGGCAGGGAATCTTAGCTTTCGGCCCTTTACATAGGTTCAATCTTCTAATGATTTTTAAATGATTAATAGATATTAAAATATCAATTGGGAGCGAAAAGCGCTTGGTTATCATTGCTCGAACACTTTGCAGATATTTAAGTCGCACTATTCCGAACCAAATCGTCCTTGCGACAGATCTTACTTATTAACAAAGAACAGACTTTTCAACAAAAGAGGTTAAGCAAAGACGTTTTTGATTGACCTATGGTAAACGGATGTAAGGCATTTTCCCTTTTAACATGCCTAAATGCT